CTCTTCCTTCTCTCGGCTTCCCCTTCTTCCTCTGCACACTCTTCCTTCGTTTCTCTGTCTGTTTTCCTCCTCCAGCACATCCCTGCCTCCTAGAAAGTGCTGACTCAGCCACTTTCCTGACAGAGACAACGCCAAGGGAGATTTCTAATGCGCAGTTAGGGATGGAGGTACTGACTGTTTTTTTGGACTTGGACGCCATCGAGGTGCAGCTGCAGGCTGGTGGGATTAGAGGGATCTTGAGATGTGTGTCTGAGACAACCCCAGGTTATGCGAGGATACCAGGCAACACATCTGGTAGGGAGGGAAATGATGAGGTGCTTACTGATCTCATGCCAGAAAGGGTAATCCCAGCACTATTAGGTGCAGAAAAAACTTTTGGTAAAATCCAGCACCCCTTCTTGATAAAAACCTCGTGTCTGGTCACATGCCCTGTGAGAAGTGGGCTGTTCATGACAGGGTGACCCAACGAACATATCGGGGAAACTTGGTATTGCTCAGGTCAGTGGGTGTAACTAGCAATTTTGAAGCTGATTATTATTAAGGCTGGCTCAGTTGAGCCTGTGATCTTTAACTCCTGGCTTCAAGCAATCCTCCCACCTCAGCCTCCCAAAGTGGGATTATAGGCATGAGCCACTGTGCAAAATTAGATACCATCTAGTTCATAGGGTTGTCATTCTTTCATATTTGTCATCTCTACAAATGTGAAAGAATGAGAGACCTCTTGGATTATGACTGGATCCAAAATATTTGTCTGAAGTAATAGTTTGGCAACTGTATGCTGGGAGCTGTATATTATTCTAAATGAATAATTGCTACTTTTGACTGAATAAATATCACTGGTTAAGTGCTTTTTCTTCATTATCTTATTTATTTTTTGTTCCTTTTGTATATATTTAAGGTGTACAACATGTTTGATATGCTAATACTCAGTAAAGCAGTTATAGTCAAACAAATGGGGGAAAGGGAACCTAAAATCTCCTCTTTAGGCAAAAATCCCGAATACAATATTATTAACTCTAGTTCTAATGTGGTACATTGGTTCACAAGACATAATTCATCCTACATATTTACACATTGCAGCTTTATTCACGATCACCAAGATATGGAGCCCACCGGAGTGTCTGCTGAGAGTGAAGCATCTGCTGTATGTCTAGATAGAGTGGAATATGAGTTAGCCTTACAAAAGGCAATTCCACCACTGGTCACAATCTGAAAGAACCAGGAGGATATTGTACTAAGTGAAATAAGCTGGACCCAGGAAGAAAAATACGTGAAATCTAAAAAAAAAAAAAAAAAGAATGCACAGAGATAGAGAATAAAACAGTAGTTACCAGAGGCAGGGCGGGGACACAGGAAGGAAACGAGGGGATGGAGGTCAAAGGACGTATATCTCATTTAATCATTACTTCAACCCTATGAACTAGATGGTATCTAATTTTGCAGAGGAGGGATCCAAGCTCAGAGGGCTTAAATAACTTTCCTAAGCCGGTAGGTGGCTGAGCTGTGATTCATACCTGGTCTGAGTGAGGCCTATGCTGTCACTCTTTCCCACCAGGCCACGAGTGACACCCCCAGCGAGGCTGGCCTGGGAGCAGGCAGGGGTTCATTCACTCTCCTACACCTGCTGCCTGAGCTGTCCTGCCCACCATCACCACCGCCCTGGGATTTTACCCTTTATGTTTGAGAAATTCTGGAATAAACCAACTTTTGTTACACCAGTCACTTTATGCAAATTCTCCAGTCAAGTCTGAAGCTCTGATACCTCCAGAAAGAGCAAGCCTGGTTTGTGCTCCACGAGAGGCACACAGTTCTCAGCGGGGGAGGCACGGAGGAGCTGGGTTGGGGGGAGAGGCCACAGTCCTGTGTTCTCCAAGATGCATGGAAAGCGTCAAGTCTGGTCTACCTGACCTGGGATTTGATGGGCATTTGTAGTGCCCTTGAAATATGCTTTGTGCTGGGCTCGGTGGCTCAGCCTGTAATCCCGCGCCTTGGGAGGCTGAGGTAAGTGGATTGCCTGAGCCCGCGGGTTTGAAACCCGCCTGGGCAACTTGGCGAGACCTCATCTCTACAATAAATCAAAAATATTAGCCGGGCATGGTAGGGCGCGCCTGTAGTTCCAGCTACTTGGAAGGCTGAGGCAGAAGGATCGCTGGAGCCCCGCAGGTCAAGGCTGCAGTGGCTGGGAGCGGCCACTGCACTCCAGTCTGGGCAACAGAGTGAGACTCCAACTCAAAAAAAAGAAAAAAGAAATATGCTTTAAAAGCCACAAGGTGCTTTCACACCCCTTTCCCTTCCCTTCCCTTCCCTTCCCTTGCCTTGCCTTGCCTTCCCTTGCCTTCTCTTCTCTCTCCTCCTTCCCTCCCTCCCTCCGTCCCTCCCTCACTTCCTCTTCTGAGTCAGGATCAAACTCCTGGGCTCAAACAATCCTTCCACCCCAACCTCCCAAGTAGCCAGGACCACAGGCACACACTGCCATGCCTGACTAATTTTAAAATTTTTTTTGTAGAGACAAGGTCTTGCTATGTTACCTAGGCTGATCTTGAACTCCTGGGCTCAAGAAAACTACTGGGATTACAGCCTCCCAAACGGCTGGGGTTAGGTGTGAGCTGCTGCCTCCAGCCTAACACCCATTTCTTATAGCTGAGGTCATGAGAAAAATCTAAAATAAGGTAGAGGAGAGGTCATTGCTATTCTGAAGTAATTTCTTTCTTCTGACAGAGGTATTTTTCTATGGAGAAGTCATTCTTTCCCTCTACCACCTCAGGAGGAGCTCCAGGGGAATGTGGCTTAGGGGACAGGACTGGTGCAGGGGATAAGGGGCAGCCAGCTGGGGGTCGGGGCTGTGACTGAATGTCCTGTTCATTCATGTTCATGACATGCTCTGTGAGTTGATGTCCACAAGGGGGAACAGGGGCCGACATACTAGGCAGGAAGTCAAAGCTTTGAGTGTGAGGAGGACTATGTCTGCAGTCACCCAATTTATTATTTTATTTTAATATTTTATCTATGTATTTATTTATTATTTGAGTTGGAGTCTCACTCTGTCACCCAGACTGGAAGGCAGTGGCACAATCACGGTTTACCACAGCCTCAACCTCCTGGGTTCAGGCGATCCTCCCTCTTCAGCCTCCCAAGTTGCTGGGACTACAGGTGCATGCCACCATGCCCAGCTAATCTTGTGTAGAGATAGTATCTCACTACGGTGCCCAGACTGGTTTCAAACTCCTGGGCTCAAGCAATCCTCCTGCCTCGGCCTTCCAAAGTGCTGGAATTATAGGCATGAACCACGGCTCCAGGTCTGAATATTTTATTTTTGAGATAAGGTCTCACTCTGTTGCCCAGGCTGGAGTGCAGTGGCATGATCATAGCTCACTGCAGACTCAAACTCCTGGACTCAAGCTATCCTCCTACCTCATCCTCCCAAAGTGCTGGGATTATAGGCATGAGTACCACACCCAGTCTGTACTCATCTAGATTTAGACCTTAGACCAGTCTCAGAACCTCTCCGCGGCACCCTTTCTTCATCTGTGGATTGGTAACCACTAAAGGTGATAACGGACATAAGGCTTCTCTGCCAGGGAAGTTACAAATAATAAATAAAATTCACATCTGTGGAAATCCTTCAATAGCCCTAAGACACTCCACAACTGTAAGGCTGAAATGCTTCTATGTGTGCAGGGCTGTCACACCCTGGTGCCTAGCAATCCACACACAGAAGGTACCATCAAAGAGAAAGACATTTATAAAGTCATTTAATAGCTATATAAAGAAAAGTGTGGTTATTGTCCTAGGGCAAGATAGGAACATTTTAAAATGCTTTTCTTTGGATCACAGACCTCGATGGCTATCTGATAAAACCATGAACTCTTTCTCTTTTCAAAATGGATACACACAGCAAAAATAAACTGTGCTGACCCATTCATCCAACAGCACTTTACATAGATTTTCTGAGAGTGCCTCGTCTCTAACACCCACCTAGCTTAAGAAGGTGCCTGTCTTAGAGATGCCTTAGGTTCTGACTGTTGCCCAGGAGAGTAGACTGTGGAGAATAATGACCACCAGAGTGATGCTTTGCATCTGCCCGACAAAAATCCTGGAGGGAACATTCTAGGAGTTGATCGGGCTCATACAACCCTCCTGAAAAAATTGTGTATGTCAGTTGTTAACTCGTCTAAGCTGAACTGTGATCAAGCTGCAGAACGTGTCTGGCCCAAGGACGTGGCCACCTTCCAGGTCCCTGTCGCTTTTGTGCAAAAAGTCGCAGGTCCTGACATCTGAATCCTCCCGCCTCCACAATGGGCTGCTATCCGGTGACGCTGCGAGGTCCCCTTACGCAGGTGAGGCTCCTCCAGGGCGCTCGGATGCCTGCTAGGAGCCCGGCTTATCGGGGCATCTGTTAGCTCCTGCCAACGCCCTGGCTGTGTCTGCCCTGGCCCATCTCAGGGGACCGGATTTTACCCTGAGCAACATGTATATTTGTTTGTTTGTCTCTGTTAAGTAGAATTTCACTTTGGGTTTAGAGAATTCAGGACCAGAGTCAGCTCAGCCAAGGTGGAAATGTAAAAATCCACACCAAGATCAAGTCCAGCTGAGTGAGGCCACGTCCAGCGCTGGAAAGGGAAAAGGAAAGAAAATAATTGAGCACTGTCACACCTCCTCCATCCTGCCGGGGCCTTCCACGTGGAACACAAGAGGTATTTGCACCAAATGGTGCCTAAAGCCTAAAGCCAGCCAGGCCGCCTGCTTCTAAGCTCAGGGAGCGTGCTGCCTTCTGTCCTCAGTTGTTTATGGCATCTTGGTTACAGGATGTAAGTATCCCCCATGAGAGCTGCGCAGGTCACCCGCCTGACCGAGCCCTCGCCCGCTGCCACCCTAGAGCTCAGAGGCCCCGCGGCAGGCAGATGGCGCGAGGCCTGGAAGTCGCTTCCTCTGTCCCCAGCTAGATCAAGTGGCGGCAGCCCAGGCAGCTGGAAGGGACCCACGGAGAGAAATTGAGCACCATGCTCAGAAAGATCCACTCCCTCTTCAACTCCAGCCCGCAGAGGAAGGCGGCCGAGAGCCCCTATTATGACGGGGCCAGCCCCGCGGTGAAGCTGATTCGAAGCAGCTCCATGTACGTGGTCGGGGACCACGGGGAGAAATTCAGCGAGTCCTTGAAGAAGTACAAGAGCACCAGCAGCATGGACACCAGCATGTTCTACCTGCAACAGGAGGAGGACCGGGCGTGGATGTACTCGCGCACCCAGGATTGCCTGCAGTACCTGCAGGAGCTGCTGGCTTTGCGCAAGAAGTATCTCAGCAGCCTCAGCGACCTGAAGCCCCACCGTGCCCAGGGCGTCTCCTCGACCTCCTCCAAGTCCTCCAGGGGAGGGAAGAAGGCCACCGCCCAGCCCGCTCCCAGAGAAGGGAAGGTAAGTGCTGAGCAGGACAGTCTAGCCACCCGGGAGCTCTTCTGGGAGCCTTGAACGCCTACTTGAAACCTTCTGTCCATCCCTGGCTTCGTTCATCTGACATGGTCTGAGCAAGGGCTCCATCATCTTTCAGACTTTCCTCTGCCTGGGGAAGGGCGGCTAAGCCCGCGCTGACTTCCAGTGCTGAGGAAGTGAGGGGAAGCTGGTATTGGTGTCTGCAGAGCAGCCTGGTAGAGAAGACCTGGGCTCTGGCCTCAAGCGGCAGGAGTTTGCCTTGCACATCTGTCGCTGATGGCCCGACTTTGTGGGTGAGATAATGCTCCTGTGGCATTTAGATGGCAGCAATTCATTTTTCAACAAAGTATTGGTTTGAAACAATTACTAGGATGACATCTAAAAATCCTGGTGAAAAGTGAAATTTTCATGTTAGCTGGATGTTTTCTTTTTTACATTTTTATTTTATTTTAGAGTTGTGGGGTGCACGTGAGGATTGACTACATAAATAGGTTGTGTGCAGGTGAAGTTTGTGCTTCTAGCTAGCCTTCTCTCCCCCAACAGTGGACCAAGGACCCTTGATGTTGCCATGTGACCCACTCCCTTCCCTCCCTCCCCTGGCAGTGCCCAGTGTCTGCTTGTCCCACCCTTGTGCTAGTGTGACCGGTGTTCAGGGCCCACTTATGAGTGAGAACACATAGTATTCAGTTCTTTGTTTCTGTGATAGTTCCCTTAGGATGATGGTCTCCAGCAGCATCCATACTGCTGTGAAAGCCATGATTTTTGGACTAGGTGTTTTCTAAGTATCAAGGTGCTTAGCCCCATGTGAACCAAAGAACTGGTAGATTCTTCCATCTGCATCTTGGACCCAGACATTTTGGTGGCCAGGTACGGCCACAGAAGAGAGGCTGTGCCTCTCAGGAGATTGCTGGATGGCTTTAGGCACTGGAAGTCACCAGACAGATGTGCATGAAACTAGCAAAATAAATAACTTGCATTTATCTCACTGAATATACTTACTGCCATGCTTTGTATATATCACTTTTCTTTGAGCATTCCAATAATGCCAGTATAGAAGGTGGGAAGGAAGTCTTTCTGTATCACAGAGGGGTAAATGGAGGCTCAGTGACCCTGCCTCTAGGTGCTTGGTCAGCGGATTCTAATTACAAGCCCCCACTTCATTTAGTTACTCCTTCCTTTATTTCCACAAATTTGTTTTTATTGCTAGTCTCTGTCACCCAGACTGGAGTGCAGCGGCACGATCACAGTTCACTGCAACCTCGACCTCCTGGGCTCAGGCAATCCTTCCACCTCAGCCTCCCACGTAGCTGGGAATACAGTACTGGGAATGCAAGTGTGCATCACCATGTCCGGTCAGCTAATTCTTAATTTTGTTTTTTTTTTGTAGAGATAAGGTTCTGCTATGTTATCCAGATTGGTCTCGAACTCCTGGGCTAAAACAATCCTCCTGCCTTGATCTCCCAAAGTATTGGTATTATAGATGTCAGCCATGGCACCCAGCCTATTTTTATTTATTGTTAATGCCCATGTTTTGAGGCTGTTGTATTGTATACTCCCATCAGTCATTTTTCTGATGACTGACCTAGAAGGTGTTTGGAGCAGGCCTGTCTCCCACTCTTTTGCTGTCTCCCCAGAGTGTTCTGAGACCAGCAAGCTCCATTAATGTTGAATGACTGATTGGCCCACTGTCAAATCTCTGGGGATTGGCTTCACCCAACTGGTTTCAACTGTCTGCGTGTTACACCAGGTGGGAGCAGTTTAAAGAATCATTTGAACTCTAAAAGTGTGTCAGTGTTGCAGCCCATACAAAAGGGCTCTAGTCTTGGGGACCAGTGTTGACCCTGTGATTAGTTAGTTGCAGATTCTGTGGGCCAGTTCCCTCCTCCTTTGGGGTCACCTCTGATGACAGAGGAGTTACAGTGGCTTCTGGATGCCGTTCCAGCTTGACTATTCTGGATTGTAGGCTCTGGTTAGATTTCTTCTAAGGCACAACCTTTCCAGGCAAATAGACTCCTTGCTTGTAGGACTAGCTCCTTCCCTTGGGGAGGTGTCTGGAGATAGAGGGAATGCACGGGAGCAGACCCACCAGCTCCAATCATGTGAATGACTGCAAAAATAGACATAGTCAGGATACAATGTATGAATTTCCTCCAGAGATGCCTCTCACCATGGTGCAATCTTTTTTTTTTTTAATTGGGTTCACCCAGACTGGAGTATAGTGGCATGATCACAATAATCACGTCTCACCACAGTCTGGATCTCCTGGGCTCAGGCGATCCTTCTACTTCAACTGGGAAGCTGGGAATAAAGGCATGTGCCATCATGCCCAGCTGGTTTTTCAGATTTTTGTAGAGATGAGCCCTCTCTGTGTTGCTCATGCTGGTCTCGAACTCCTGAGCTCAGGCAATCCTCCTGCCTCAGCCTCCCAAAAGGTTGGGATTACAGGTGTGGGCCACCACCATGTTTGGCAGGGAGAGAGTTTTGAAAGAGCCTTGAAGTCAATCAGAAAAGGTTTGAATTTCAGATCTGCTACTTACCAGTTGTGTGCCTTTGTTAAGTGAACTGAACCTCTCTGAGCCTCTTTTTTCTGTAGTGTAGAAACAGAAAGGATAATATGTCTTGTGAGGTGTCAGCAAGGTTCTGCTCATAATTGTACCTGGCGCATACTGGGTACTCACTCCCAGCGTTTACTGACTCTGAAACATCCGGTGCAGGAGGCTGTTTCCTGTTTTTAGAGGACTGCACCCCTCCCCATGGCTCCTACAGAAAGAGCTGTGTGCTGGGCTTGCCTGAGGAAGGGTGAGTGCAGACCCCTTGGCTAGCAGGAGGCCCATGGCTGCCTGGTCTCTGTGCATTGCAAGGGCGCAGGACCAGGAGGACTCCTCCCCACTGGAATGCCATTGACCTCTTGCTTTGGGAGGAAGCCCTGTGAATGTTCAAGGTTTAGGGCAAACATCACTCCTTTCCCTGATACTCTATTATGGTCTATCCCCTCAAAATCCATATGTTGAAATCCTAACCCCCAGTAGCACAGAAGGTGACCTTACTTAGAAATAGGGTAATTACAGGTATAATTAGTTAAGGTAAGGTCATACTGGAGTAGGGTGGGCCCCTATTCCAATATGACTGGGGTTTTTTGTTTTTTGTTTTTTGAGTCAGGGTCTTAGTCTGTCACCCAGGCTGGAGTGCAGTGGCAGGATCATGGCTAGCGGCAGCCTTGACCTCCTGGGATCAGGCAGTCCTTCCACCTCAGCCTCCCGAGTAGCTGGGACTACAGGTGTGCACCACCAAGACCAGCTCACTTTTTGTTTTTTTTTTTTTGCAAAGACGAGATGTGGCTATTTGCCCAGACTGGTCTTGAGCTCCCGGGCTCAGGTGATTCTCTTGCCTCAGCCTCCCAAAGTCTGGGATTACAGGTGTGAGCCATGACTGGTATTTTTAATGTAAAGACATGGAGAATGTCACATGAAGGCTTGGAGTTAATGTTGCCACAGGCCAAGAACCTACCAAAAACTGGAGAGAGGCCTGGAGCAGAAGCTTCCCGTCAGAGGGAGCATGGCCCTGCCTACAGCTCGATCTCAGATTTCTGGCCTCCAGAACCTTGTGACAATACCTTTCTGTGACTCTAAGCCACCCCGTTTGTGGCACTTTGTTACAGCACCTCTAGGAAACAAAGACATCCCTCTGTAGACTTAGCCTATTTTCTGCAGCACTGGCCTGACCACACCTCTGTGCTAGCATTCATCACATCCTATTGTAGTTTATTAAAAATGCCTGTCTCCCCTGGTGGACTGCAGTGAGCTTGGGGAGCTTGAAGCTGAAACAGCATCTTTTTCATTTTTCTATCCCCGGAGCATTATAGTGAGTCCTTTCGGTCACTCGTGGATGCTTTATAAATGTTAAACATCTGATGTCTTTTGTGCCGGAAGTCAGGGGAGAGCTGGCCTTCGTGTAGGGAATGAGCAGTGTTCTCTGTGGCTTTGGGACACCACACAGGTCCCTCTTCCCTCTTTTTCTTCCTCCTTCCCTCTTTCCCTCGGTTCCTCCATCCCTCCCTCCTTCCCCTCCTCCTCCCTGCCTTCCTCTCTGCTGCCCTCTTGATTTCAGCCCCTGGCCACAGCACCGAAGTTCCCTTGTCTGTCCTTCTTTTGTGGTAAGATAGTGGCTTTTAAACTATATTGATTAAGATCCATAGTAGTAAGAAACACATTTTAGATAATGGCTCATTTTACCCAAACACAAACAAAGCAAAAGTTCTATGAAATAGACTTACTTCTGTTCCTTGCTTGGCACTCTGGTGTTTTCCAAAGTATTCTATGCTATTCTCATTTTTAAAAATGTCTTGACACACGAACTTGATTCACAAGACACTGCTGGTTGTGGAGTAAGATATTCTAATAGGTCCCGTTGACATGTGAATGGCATCTAAAGCATTGAGGCAGCGGGGTGCCAAAGGACCTGTTATCCCATTATTCCCTTGGAGAGACCCAGAACCTGGAAGGGCACCATGTAGGTGGATGGGAGGAGGGAGCAAGGTGAGCCAGGGGTGGGCATGGGGAGCCCCCCATAAGCCCTGCATCATGCCAGACCTGTGATAATTTGCTTCTCTCTCAGAATAGGCAGTCATTACAAAAATGAATGAAACACCTTTTGCAACATTCTAAAATCAAAGCAACAATAAAAATCCATATCTGAGGATTTTTGTGTTGGTGCTGGGCATGAACTACAGTTTGCAATTCAGTATTTGGATGCTCAAATGCTAGGACTTCCAACTCAGGGCATAATGCGTAGAGGCAGGAGGACAGCATGTTTGACATGGGTCCTGTCCTAGAGTGTGGAGTCCCTGAACCAACAGGGTAAGCCTCCTATCTGCTCTGGACAGCTTGGGTGTTTCAGCAGTGAGGCTCCTTTCTACGCCCACTGTTCCTGATTTTATGTCACCCCACAGGCACACCAGGAACCATTGCATCTATTCCTGGCTTGTA